AAACCCTAGGTATTACATAAAAAACTTAAATACCCTTTAACAGTTAGTATGCTTTAAATTGTTTTAAGTGAGACTCGTTTGTATTTTTTTAAAAACATGGAACTTTAACTGTAATATTTCTTTTTAATATTCTTTTTCTCTTTTCTATTTGAGTATTTAAAAGAAGGGTAAACTAGTCATTTTAAAATATTTTAATGGAGAAAATATACGGTAAGTACCTTTTGCGCAAATAAAGGTTGTTTTGAGAGTCCAAAAGCCAAAATTGAAAAGATAGGAATGATTTGCACAATGAAGGCAAACAATAGGAACGTCTAGAGCCAATTATCCATATTTGACGGAAGAATTGACGGAATGAGACGGAAAAGACCAATTTCGCAAGAAAAAGGTTGAAATAAGAGCAAATGCCATGTTTGAAACAAATATGGACGATTTGCGCAATAATGAGGGCATTTTGTGCTAATTACCCATAATTTTATCCAAACATGATAAGAATTGCTCAACTCTGTGAAGACCAGAAGACTCTATATTAGTATGAATTGAGATAAAAAATAATTTGAATCAACAAGGTACGTAAAGATGCTATTACTGAAGGACCTACAATACTAAAATACTCTCGCCACCTCCGAATGGAGGTACCTTCATTTTTAGGCATATTAATGCTTTAGTTTACATCTTTCCAAGTAACTTTGTCAACTAATCAGTAATAACTAAATAAGCATTATTTATAACTTGGCGTTAACTACAAGAATCTATTTTCAGCAATCATGTTTTCCAATAGAACAATATCTTCTAAAAGTTTCAAGGAAGAGCTTTACCTCTGTAGCACGGACACTTCAATTAGGATAGCGTGTCCGTGTCCGACACGTGTCAGACACAAGTCGATACCGACGCTTCTCGGACACTCTACCGTAATCATTTTTCTTTTTATATTAGAAATATTATATATTGTTAATTCAAAGTTATTAGCAAGTAACAAATAGGTACTCATGTTTAAAAGATTTCAACAAGAAAAATTAATAACAAGTATAAAACTAAATNACTTCTCGGACACTTTATCGTAATCATTTTTCTTTTTATATTAGAAATATTATATGTTGTTAATTCAAAATTATTAGCAAGTAACAAATAGGTTCTCATGTTTAAAAGATTTTAACAAGAAAAATTAATAAGTATAAAACTGAATTTATGCTATATTAAATGAAGAATTTTTAAGAATTTAATCAACGTGTTGATGACGTGTCATGTCTGTACTTTTTTTAAAAAATCGCATGTCGACGTATCCGACATGTATCGTGCAAGACACACGTATCCGTGTCGGTGCATCATAGAGCTTTACATTCAAATAATGTTTTTGTTCTGAACGTCCATTTAGACTGTTAATTATGATCTACACGCACCACTCGTGAATGAAAGGTTTATTTAATGAATATGTTATTTATAATTATAATGATGGAACACCATTGATGTGGCAATTTAGGTGGAACAATGAGACATGACAGTTCAAATTTCATGTGAGAGGGGGATTGAACTGTCTTATGCCATTGTTCCACCTACATTATCACATCACCGATATTCCATCATTATAATGAAAAATAACATTATTCTTATTTAATTTTACACAAGACATGCTTCAACAATCTAAAAGTTCCTACAGTCAGGTTATCCTCGCTTAGTGCCTCATCAACATGTTGTGCATAACCTAATACATTAGTTATCCATTCTAATCTTATCACATGTTCATCTCATTGTCCTCTATTTTCTGTTATACTATAACCTATGGACATATTCTCTCCTAACTGCTCAAAAGATGATACCGTAAAGTATATCTAGTCTAGTACCATTTTATAGAACTTCTCTTTCCGGAAATCAATCGAAATCACTGGCTTCAGAGTCAATGTTGGCTCACTGAATACCAACTCGAGAACTTCATGTCGTCATAAGAGTCACTTTGTAGATGAGTTCCAAACAGATAAAACCACTGTAACACCTTTATTTCTTTCAACCTACTCTAATAATATGCATTATGTCAAATCCTAGTATTGCTCTTTGGAATCACATGATCCTGTATTATAACTCCACTACTATTGCTAATTTCTACCATGAATCAAAAGGCATTCCACGTATTCCTAGTAAGTTCTTTTAACCTAAAACCCTCATATTCAATTCTTTCAAAGTTCCAACTTTTGAATTATTCAAATGGATCAAATCCTAGTCTCGTCTGCAAAAACTATATTATCAATGAATGGAATACACTAAATACCTTATTGTAGATATTTTTGGTAAATTCATCCATGCCTAAAGCTAAAAAAGATAAGATCTGAAAGCGAAATATACACCCACTCCTATTGTATTAGGAAATTTCCTAGTATTGCTCCACTAGATATCACACGCAAAATCGCTCCTTTATTCATACCCCTAAAAATATTCATATATCCAAAGAATTTATTATTTTGTGTAACTTATATCATAGCACTTCTCTAGGAATCCTATTGTATGCCTTATTTCTAACTCAATAAAACCATATGAAAATTTACTTCTCATTTTTACTTCCAATCACCTGTAGAATTCTACTAGAATTTTCCTGCATCACAAACTTATTTTCAAAAACCTTCAAATTACCATCTAATATATGCACAATCATACTCTGCTATAATTCAATTACATGTCACAAGCTTACTACCTTCTATTTTGTATAATATTGAATATCTCCTCTTATAAATAAGGACTATAACATTCATCCTCCACTCATCAAGCATCACTTTACAAAAATATTTCATTGAAGTAATTTAATCAATTACAAAATACCCTTCTCGCCTAGACACTACCATAGCCCTGATAGGGATTTTATT